TGTGCTCCTGGCCCTGGGCGGCATAGAGGAAGACCTAGGGACCCCTGTCTCCACAGGTTTCTCTGGCCAGTGTTGCTCCCCCCAGTCTACAGCATGGGAAATATCTTCGCAAACCTCTTCAAGGGCCTTTTTGGCAAAAAAGAGATGCGCATTCTCATGGTGGGCCTGGACGCTGCAGGGAAGACCACCATCCTGTACAAACTGAAGCTGGGTGAGATCGTGACCACCATTCCCACCATAGGTGAGGAGACTGGAGCGGGGCCAGTGGTGGGGCTGGGGCGCGGGCAGCTCCGGGGCAGCAAGGCTGACCGGGGTCATGTCCCCCGCAGGCTTCAACGTGGAGACCGTGGAGTACAAGAACATCAGCTTCACTGTGTGGGATGTGGGTGGCCAGGACAAGATCCGGCCCCTGTGGCGCCACTACTTCCAGAACACACAAGGTGAGCGGAGGGGCTGTGGCCTGCGGGCGAGAGGGGGGCGCCCTTGGCACCCGTCCTAACGCTCCTGACGCCCGTGGCTCTGCAGGCCTCATCTTCGTGGTGGACAGCAATGACAGAGAGCGCGTAAACGAGGCCCGTGAGGAGCTCATGAGGATGCTGGCGGAGGACGAGCTCAGGGATGCTGTCCTGCTGGTGTTCGCCAACAAGCAGGTATGCGCGCCCGTGGGCCCGGCCATATGGGGTGGGGGGCAGGGAGGGGCAGTCCCCACAGCCCTCTGACCGAAGGCCGCCGGGCCTCTCCCGCCAGGACCTCCCGAATGCCATGAATGCAGCCGAGATCACGGACAAGCTGGGCCTGCACTCGCTGCGCCACAGGAACTGGTACATTCAGGCCACCTGTGCCACCAGCGGGGATGGGCTCTATGAGGGACTGGACTGGCTGTCCAATCAGCTCCGGAACCAGAAGTGAGCCGCGCCCCTCCCCCCACTCCCTCCTTCCACCCTGCTTTACTCTCATGTGGTGTGAGTGCCAGAAGCTGTCTCCAGGGTCGGTCACAGTGTGCTTCACCATGCTGTAAATGTGCAGACGCAGCCTGCAGCCGGGTTTTTATTTAATGTAAATAGTTTCTGTTCCCAACGAGGCAGTTTCTGGTACTCCTATGCAATATTACTCAGCTTTTTTTATTGTAAAAAGAGAATCAGCCCACTGTTCAGTACTGAGAAGGGATTTTAGGCTCACGGGGCCCCCGGGAGTCGTCGTGTCAGGCCAGCCTGGCGCTCCTCCTCTGGACGTTAGGTTGTGTTGGGATCCATTTTGGTGGTTGGTTTTTAACCTGAACTCAGTGCATTTTTAAAATAGATAAAAACACAAGACAAGGAGAACACTTGAACACACGGAAGGGAGAAACGTGCCTGGTTAGGTTCTGCGGTAAACGGCCAGAGTCTTGTCCACTGGCGATCCCTTTCCTGTTGGGAACGTGACGGGGCAGAGCCGGCCGCGGTCCATCCTGCATGGTCACGATAGGATCCCCGTGATTCGCTCTCGGGTGGTCCCACCTCCCCTAACGTTTGTCCTCGTACCTGTGCCCACACAGCGCCCGGGGGGATGGGCTGGGGGGCTGCGGCCACCGCTCCCGGGGCCCTTGAGGGGGCCCCCAGAGCCCCCCATCCACATGTGCTTTCACTCCCTCAGCCTGCAAGGGTCAGGTTTGCCACCGAAACGATGACGTCTACTTTTTTCTTTCGTATTTTGATAAACACTGAAGAAGCTGGAGCCGTTCAACTTTATCTTGGGGAAATCCTCAGAACTGGTTTATTTGGTGTCGTGGAACCTCTTACTGCTTTCAATACACGATTAGTAATCAACTGTTTTGTATACTTGTTTTCAGTTTTCATTTCGACGAACAAGCACTGTAATTATAGCTACTAGAATAAAGTCTCTTAACTAGTTCATGGCTCTCCAGTGCTTGGTGCCGCCAGCCACAGCTTGCCTCTGCGAACAGGAGCAGGGCGTGCAAGAGGCCACTGGCTTTGCAGCAGGTGTGGACATGGCCCAGTGCCCTGGCAGGGACTGCCTCGTTGGCCTCCCTACTGGCAGTGCCAGGCCATGAGCGGGACGACAGGGTCACTGCATGGGGTAAGGGTGTGGAGGCTCATGCCCATACCACCTGGCCTCTAAGGAGGGGTGTGGGCAAGAACCTGTGGCCAAGCTCTGTTGCTGCCATGTAGGCCATCCTCGGTGCCCCTGCTCCCTAGCCGGGTATGACTGGCAGGCCAGAGTCCAGGCTCCTCTGCCCTGGGGATGCCCAGTCTGGCCATTCCCTCTACCAAGTTGAAAAGCCAGGGCCAGGGTTAGATTCACATAACTGTCTTCAGTTTGATTAATATTAAAATCTGAAGCAAAAGATGCATATTTCATAATTAGGAATCCAGCCTGGGTCCTGTCCATTCTCTGGCTGGGTTTTAAGAGGTCCCCTCCCTGCAGAGGAGGGGAGAGGCCTGAGGGAAGGAGCTGATGTCCCACCCAGACCCTCTCCAAGGAGTTGAGGGGGCGGGTCCCTTGGGACAGGGAGTGGGGAAGGCAAGTCTCTAGGCACAAGTCTGCGCCCCTCATGATCCACACGTTCAGCCTGTCCCCTGGGGTGAGACATGGTGATCCCAGTCTCCTGGTGCATTTGACATCGCTGGCCAGGGACAGGCCCACACAGGACACCCCCAGAAGGAAGGTCGTCGTCCTCCCGATGGGGCCTCTGGCTGGTTTTACTGGAACTGGAGATCTTCCTCACATTCTTCCCTGCCCCTTTCTACTGGAACTTGTGACAACTTCCCCTTAAATATGAAATACTTTCCCCTTAAAATAACTTTATTTAAGTACAAAGAGTGAGTTAAAGAAAAATAGAAGTAGCTGTACTTGGCCACCCCAAAGCCCCCCGGGGCTTCCCCAGGCCATCCGTCCTTCCCTGGGGGCCAGCTCAAGTGCCACTGCAGGGGGGGGCAGGGTATGGCATGGTTGACTGGAGGCTGTCAGCAGGGCTGGCCTCAGTCACTGTGGTGGCGGCGGCGCCTCTTAGAGCTGGGCGAGGAAGAGCTGGAGTCCGAGTCGTGCCTGCGACGCCCTGGCCTGGGGAGACCACAGAAATGGGAACCAGTGGGTGGATGTGAGGCTGCCCTGCCAGCCAGGCTGCCCCAAGGTGGAGGCACACTTACCCAACAGGAGTGGGGGGCAGCGGGGAGGCCCCCTTACTCCTGTGTGCCTTCTCTTTCTTCTTCTCTTTCTTGTGCTTCTTCTTTTTCTTCTTTTTCTTCTCTTTTCTGCTTCTCCTGTGGCCCTCAGGGCTGGGGGGGGTGGGGAGTGGGAAGGTCATACCCAGTACTACCCTCCCTCCTACTAAGTGGCTGCAGGTATACACAGCGTTCCCACCCCTCATGGCAGAAGAGCCACATGCTCCCACCCCCCCACCACGTGATCCTGGCATCCCTGTCACCAGGTGGCAGCCCCTGAGCGCCACGGGGTGGGACAAGGGAACGCCTCCCTCCGGGGACCCCAGGGGACCCCAGCAGGCAGTCGGGTGAGTCCCCAGAGGGTAAAAGGGACAGGACCTGGTAAGGGCACTGACCCAAAGGCAGCCACGTAGAGAACCCATAGTTTTGTGCAGCCCCACCCTCTCCCCGGTAGCTGTGGGGCGGCTCTTACCCCGGCTCCGCCTTCTCCTCCTCCGACCGAGGCCTCTTCCTGGAGGAGGCTGGGGAGGACCCCTGCCGGCCGCTTTCCACGCGATGGTGCTGCGGAAGGAGGTCACTTTGGGCGAGGGCGTGGTGAGGTGGTGTGGGAGGCGCCTCGGGATGCCAACCGGGCCAGGAGACAGGAGTGCCCCACGAGCAGAGACGGCCAGCCCCCGACCCTAAACCGTGGGATCCCCGGGGGTTACGGGCAGTTACCGTGAACACGGAGAGCCCCAGCTTGGCGGCCTCCTTATCTTCTCGGGACAACGCCACTCGGCCTGCAGAGCCACTGCGGGAACGCGGGTGACAAGCGGTCACGGTGAGAAGGCCCCGGCCTCCGCAACCGGATAGCGCTTCCATTTGGGCAAAGGGCAGAGTCCATCCCCTTGCAACACACCTGGAGCTCCCCAGGCCTAGGAGCCGGTCCACTCCCTTCTCCTCGTGGTCCCCTCCTTCCCGCTTACACACTTCGACAAAGTCCTGCAAGGAGGGCAAGAGGGGATGCTCGCGGCAGGCAGCTCGGGGCCCGCCTCCCCCGCCCCCCCAGGAGGGTCCCCTCACCTCCTTGCTCAGGCCGGTGGGCTGCTTCCTCACGTTCTTGTAACCTCTGCGGGGGCCGCATGCGCGAGCTTCAGGGAGCGGCCGGCCTCGCCTGGGCCCCTGCCCCTTTGTCCCCGCCGCGCCCCCCACCCAGAGCTCCCCCGACCCCGCGGGGCGCACTCACAGCGCGGCCATGAGCGCCTCCTGCTCCGCCTGCCTCACGGCCGCCAGCTCCTCCTCCCGGCTCAGTCCCGCGCCGTCCGCCCGGCCCTTGGCGTACCAGGTGAGGTCGCGGCCCTTCTGCCAGCGGCCCACTGGGGCCATCAACGAGTTGCCTGCGGGGATGCAGTGCCGAGTGCTCGCCCCGCGGGGTCTGCGCAGCACCCCCGTTCTCCGCACCCGCGGCGCGCGCAGCTCCCGCGCCCCCTCCTTTTGTGGACCCGCAGCTCCCGCGTCCCCCCTATCCGCGCCCCTCTTCCACCCCCAGCCCCAGGCCTGGCACCGCGCTGACCCAGGTAGTTCTCTCTCTGTTTGTCGGTCTTCACGTCCTCCCAACTGAACTGGTCCTGCCCGCCGCGCACGCCGCCCCGGCTGGAGCCGAACATGGTTCCCGACCGTCCGCCGCCGAAGCCCCGGCCTCGCCGCCCCAGGCGGCGCCGCCGCCGGCGCCCGCTCCCGCGTCGCTCGCCGGGACGTCACACCCGCTCAGGCACGCAGCGCCAGTGCGCGTGCGCACTGTTTCCCCCGTCCCCGCCTCACGCGCCTGCGCACCATTCACTCCACTTCTCCAGCCAAGGTGTTCGCTCAGCGCGCCTGCGCCCGGCCATGCGGAAGGAGCAGTTCCCGGCGCTAAGCTCCAACGTGAGCTTCGGGTCCCGCTGGTAAGACAGGTGTTCTTAGGGGCCACTTGGCGTGGCTGGCGCCGGGGTCCAGTAATGCACTGGGAGAGGGGCGGGGCCTGGGGGGCCCCGACCGGCGTCCCCGGAGATCTGGTGGTGAGGAGAAGGGTGTCTCCAAGCTCTCAAGAAGGCTCCTGGCCGTTCCGGCTCGCCGCCTGGATCAGCAGCCTCGGGAGCAGGCGGCTGGAAGCAGTTCAGATCCGGAGGAAGCACACTCAGCACCCCTGTTCCGTCGTGCACTGCCGCTAAAGTCATCTTGGAGCCTGGGCTTCCCCACCTGTGGCCCGGGAGCAGATGCCTCCCCTGGGCGGGAGCTGCCTCGTAGGGGCTCCAGCGCGGGAGCGCAGGTCTGAGACGGCAGGCTCCTCTGGCAGGAGCGCGAGGGCCACAGCGCCCGGCGGGCTGCCTGTGGCGGGCCAGGTAGGGTCAGCCACCAGGGTCTGGACACTGGAAGCCATCAGCATAGACAGCGCGTGAAGTCCCCAAATGAGTATGGGTGGGGTGAGGTCTTGGGGAGGTCGGGAGTTGGGGGCGCGTAGATAGTAAGTCCCTTGGTCCTCAAAGGACGTGGTGCAGATGGGGTTCCCCGCTTGACCAGACTGCTCAGGCTCCAGGAGCTCTCCAGCTGGGCCTTGGGCCTCCAGTCTGGCACTGCATCAGCCAGTTCTGGCTGCGGTCAGCTTGCCCAGACTCCCCATCCTCAGTATCTCAGCAGGATTTCATGTAGATGTGGGGCTGCTACCAGACCTGCTTTCAGCAACGATCCCATTAGGTGGCATCTGCCAGAACTCCACTACCTGGGTGATTCCTCTTAGTAGCAATTTCTCATCACTGACACCCAACCTGCCTTTTGGCTACCAATTCCCTGCATTTGTTGCTGTGACCCCACTTCAGGTAGAGTGCCTTGGCGTCTTCCAGAAGTGTCCTGGCTACCTTGGATTCAGACAACACCGCTGGGTGTCTCACAAGCAGGGAGCTGGAGAGCAGGCACAGGTGCAGGGATGGTGCATGTCCCTGTGAACCTGCTCAGGGCCAGTGTGCTCAGTGGACCAGCGGGCACTCAGAGAGGAGTCCAAAGGTGGGTGCTTAGCACTACATTCCTCCCTGGGAGCCACAGTCATGCCAGTGCCCCCCTCTGGTCATGCCCGGAACACCTTCCCCACCGTTTGTAAAGTAGTGCCTCACAAGCAACACCCCAGGGCAGGGGCCAGGCGTTCTTGGAAAGATTGGGACTTAACCTTTCAGTCTTGCAGAAGCCTGATCAGGGTGACACCCAACACAGGAGGGAAAAATAGCAGTCAACCACAGAAGGCTGGTCTGTTGTAGCTGCACTGGGCTGCAAGGAGAATGAGTCCCCAACGAGGCCGATGGATTGGGGTCAGGTATGGCCAGGAGCACCCCAGTGCAGGGGCAGGGCAGGCCAGCCACCAGCAGGGATCCCAGGCACCCTGCTCCTCCCAGCCACTCCCATCCCCCATGTGGCTGCCCAGCTCTGCCCAGGAGAGCCCCTGTGGCCCTGCAGCAGTCGGTAGTGCAGGGGCAGGCGGGAGGGGCTCCATGCCCCTAGGGATGGTTCTGCTGTTCTCACCGGTTCTCACTTGACCCTGTGGCTGCACACTAGGACAGGCGAGGTGGAGGCGACTTTATGAACATACCACATTTAAAGGCTCACCCTCCCTGCCCACGGTGTCCCCAACCCAGCCAGTTTCCAGGCACGGTCACTTTTTGGTCCAAAACCGCTTGTACCGCTCCACGTCGAAGTCGTCGTGCAGCTCTGGCTCCTGCTGCTTTTGCTCTGTGAGCTGCGCCATGCGTTTCCGGAACCGGGCCCGCCTCTCCTCTGGGGACAGAGCGTCCAGATCCACGGGCATCTGTGGAGAGGGGCTCTGTGAGAGGGCCCGGGGCGTTGTCCCTACCTCTGCTTCACCTTGTCCTCCACTGTGTGGCTCAGGTTTTCACATTCGTCTAGGTTTTCTCTGCCTTCAAAGCTCTCAGTTGTTTTCCCAAGACCGATGCTTGTCAGAGGCGCAGCTCAGAGCTGCCGTCTGGTCCTGAGGCATGGAGCTAAGTCCACTCTCCCTCCTCCCTCTCCTCACGGGCCCCGAACCCATTCACCCATTAGGCTGCCATGGGTGCTGAGCCCACAGCCCCCCGCAGGAGGAGCCGCTGCAGGCCAGCCCGCCAGGACCCGCACCCCAGAGTGCACCGGAGAGGGAGGCCCACCTCAAGCATTCGCCGTGGCTCTGGGTAGCGGATGTGGATGGTGGAGCCGTCCTGCTTGACCAGGAGTACTGGGTAGAGGCGCGCATAGGTTTGCCGGCGCACACGCGTGAGCGAGGCCCTGTTGCTGTCGGAGAGCCGGGACGACGTGTGCAGGCGGCAATACTCAGCAGCAGCCCGGGTCAGCACGTGCCGCCGCAGCAAGCTGCAGACACAAACGCGCATGCGCGTGGGTCAGCAGCCCTCTGTGGACAGGGAACCGACGTGGCCCAGGCCGTTCAGCTCCCGCGGGTGCATGCAGTGACCAGCACCAGAGCGTGGCGTGGTCATAGCAGATGGGCATGCGCATGAGGCTTGCAGAGGCCTGAGCGCAGAGGTCGGCAGCCGGGACCCAATGGGCTTCAGGCACCGTCCCTGGTGCGGCCTGGCCGTACAGCTCAGGCATTGGACGCCAGCATCGGGCAGGGCCCAGACCTTAGCGTCTCCCCCAGATTCTGACACTGAGGCCCCAAATCCCGTAATGTGCTATCAGGAGTGGGGCCTCTTGGAGGTGATTAGGGTGAGAGGAGGTCACAGGGCCCCCACGGTGGGACCAGTGCCCTTATAAGGACAAGAGACTGGAACTCTGCTGAGGGCTGGGAACCAGGAACACAGGCCTCCACAGAGCTCTGAGCTCAGACCTCCAGCCTCCCCACCGGACCCAAGGCCTGCTGCTAGGGCAGCACAAGCAGACCGAGCTGGAGCCCACCTGGCTTCTGAGTGCAGCAGACACTCTGCCTCCCTGCATACAACAGGGCATGTGCTCTTGAGTGACAGGACAGGGGAAGCCCCAGTCACCCCACTCTGCTGGGCTTCGTGACCCCTAAAATCTACTCCGGCCGGGCCTTCCTGCGCTAGGCTCCACCCTGGGTCTGAGGATAAGTGCACTTGACCAATGGCAGAGTTCCAGAACTCCCTGGAATGCCCTGTCTACCCAGCGTTCTTTCACATGCCCAGGGCAGGCAGGTGTCCCGGACGCTCCCCACCTGCTTTTGCCAAGGCAATCACCATGCGAGCAGCCCCATCCAGCCCACACCTCCCGCCTGGTCCTCATGTTGGCTTCGGTGGAGACCCTGTGCTCTTCAGGCAGGGGTGTCTCTCAGCTCTCAGGACCGCCCCCTCCACAAGTCAGGCTAACTGTGTGCCCTGCAACCTCACAGCCTGGCACAGTGCACCTGCCTTGGGTGGGGCTCACCCCACACCAGGCTTTCCCAGGAAGCGCTCAGGGCTGAGGGTACATTCCTCCCCAATACCCTGCTGTCCTTGGGGCAAGAACCACCACATGTGCCGTTAAGTCACCAGGCATTCAGTGAACTGTGGCAACAGAAAGCCAGTCTCTCCCATCAGTCATGCAGATGGCAGACAGGACACAGCCACCTCAGAGGACTCTGGGTTGCTGGACTGGAGGGGCTTCCAGAAGAGGCTGGAAGTGATGCTGGGTGTTCCTTCATCGTAACAGTGGTTCTAACATGAACTTTCTTAGGAATGCTACAGCTAGAGTCCCTTACCTAGTTTCGCATCACCAGCAGCTTCCGGTGCCCCAGATGCCACAGAACTGACTAGAAACCTACTCTTCTTCGCTCTGTGCATCAGGGGGTAGGACATGCGGTCAGAAGATGGGCAGATGAGGACACAGTTCCAGTGGGAACAGCAGGAAGGACCCAGAGCCAGGCTGGGCCGCACGATCTGAATAGGAAAGTCACCGCCACCACCATGTGTTTGCTGCTGAGTACTCAAAAGTGGATTCCATCCCGCCCTTGACACCTGGCATAGCATCTATACATACTCATATGTACTCTCCAGATAAACACACCAGCTAGATGGCCCCATGACAGCAGTCCCTAGGGGCCTGGTAGTCCCTGCTTACCCAAGCAGACTGCCCATGGTGGCCATTCTTCCCGAGGGCCCCTGTGGCACGTGGAGGCTCAGGGTCAGCCACTGGCCTGGTGTGCAACCTGTTGGGCAAGAAAATAAAAGACTGATGGATTATTTATTTATTACATTTTATTTCAGAGAGAGATGGGGGAGAGGGGCAGAGAGAAAGAACCTTAAACAGAATCAATACACTGTTTGAACCTACAACCCTGGGATCAGGACCTGAACCAAAATCAAGACTCAGTTGGTCAACCGACTGAGCCACCCAGGCACCCCTTGAGAGTTTAAGACAGGGTTTCCCACCTAATTAGCTATCAAATCCCAGCCAGGAAGAAACCACAGATCCAAGGATGTCTCCAACAGAGAAGTTATCACCAGGTTTCTGCTAGTCGCGACAGCTCTGGCCTTGAATTAGCATTGGAATCCTCTGCGGTGTGGAGGGGTCTGAACACCAGAAACCCAGGTGCCACCTCCCAAGCCTCTGCGTCGGTAAGTCTACGGCAAGGCCCATACCCTCTATAGTCGGTTACGGACTCAGGGAAGCCGTTCTGAGGATGGAGTGTAACTTGTACCATGGGGGTTTCCTCGCTTCCCAAGGTCACCTACTTCTCACGACATGCTCGCGATGTCAGGATTACAAGAGGAGAGCGGAAACCTGGATATACTGTCCCTGATCCCTGATCCCGCCCCCCCTCCCCCACCCCCCCCCGGAAACCGTCGGTGCTGAGGTGTGTACCAAGGGAAGCCAGGAATCTGAGAGCCTGACCCCTGCTTCAGACGTCGGACACTCAGACCCTAGGCAGGGAGCCCTCCCGGCCGAGATGTGCATCTCTGCTGTGGGGTCCCCAACCTGATGGGCAAGGGTATCTGCAGGCCTCCCACCACCTCAAGAGGTCACTCGGCAGGAAAACGAAATATCCAAGCAGATGCCCCCCCATGCTGTCGCCCTCGAGGGCCGGCGGCGGGGCCCGGGCCCTCCCTCGGGGAAAGCCCTTCCCGCCCCGCGACGCCTGTGCCTTTCCGGCTCCACCCTGAGCCCCTCACCGGGCTCCGGAGCAACCTCCACTACCAGCGTCCGGGACGCTGCTGGCCAGTTGGAAACAGCAGCGACCGCGGAGACGGTGCACACTGGGCAGACCCAGCACCCTGTCCTGCGCCGGCGCTACGTCGCGCAGAGCTTACGACATGTACGAGGGGCGGGGCGAGGCCGGCGCCATGCTATGACGTAAAGACGCACCCGGCCATGCTCAATGTCGTCGACCTCCGCGGGCGCCGGCGGGGTGGCGCGGCGCTGTGACGTACGTCGCTGCGGGCGGGACTGCGCGGGGCTGAAGTAGCCCCGCGGGCGGGCGGCGGAGGCGGCAGCCCCTCATGCTGCGACGCCCGCTGGCCGGGCTGGCTGCAGCCGCCTTGGGCCGGGTCCCCTCGGACGGTGAGCGGTGGGCGGATGTCGGGGTGCGCAGGCCGCGGGGCTGGATCTGGGGCCTTTCTCGGTCAGCCCTCCCGTCGCACCGGGGACGCTGGTGTCGCGGAGACTCAGGGATTGTGCACGTGGGTCGTGCCGTGCGGCCCCTGTGGGCCGCCCCAGGGCTGGCCGGCCGCGGTCCCCGCGAGCAGAGCAAGGCATTGCGCTTGTCCGTGGACGTAGCTTGGCCCCTGTCACGGGCCGCCCTTCGCGCGTGCGTGGCCGCGCGGCGCAGGTACTTCTTGGAGGCTGCTTTTCTTATGTAGACGAATTAAAAGCTGGTTCCGCTGTGTTAGTCCTGAAAATGTAGGAGGGGATTTTCCTGGCTCGTGAAGCTCCAGACAGCTTGTAAAACCTCCGCGGCCCGAGGACCTCACGCTGGATGCCGTTGTGGACCCTGCAGCATGCGGAGGGGCGGAGAGGGGGAACATCCCGACACCCCTCTCCAAGGTGGGCCACACAGCACAGCCGAAGACTCTGGGAGAGGAGGGTTCTAAAGGCCCGTCTGTGGCCGCCCTGGGGGCCTTTGTGTGGCAGAGCCCCCGCAGTCTTCCCTGAGCTCAGGGAGGAAACCCTCCTGGTGGTCTGGCTCACTGCGCTTCAGCCCCTTCCCCCAGGGCAAACCCAGGGGGGTCTGGGACACGTGGAACTGTCCCCTCTGAGGTCTTCCGGTCCTTCCTGGCCTGCTCCCAGGGTCCAGCGCCACGAAGCGGTGCGGACCAGGGAGTTGGTGGCAAGCTTTTGTGGCTTACCGGTGTCCTAGGTAGAGCTCAGCTTCCATAAGGACCAGAGGCCTCAGTCTGGGCGGCTGGAAAGACGCTACTTTGGGAACAGGGAGAGGGAGTGAGTCTAGGTCATCAGGGTGCTGGTTTGGGAAGGAGCAGGGAGGCATGCCACCTCACCGTTCCAAGGGGAGGAAGGCCTAATGGAAGCTGAGTTGTTAGTGGCCAGTGTGGGCTGCAACCCACGGGCCGGGAGGACACAGGCGGAGGTCTGCCTGTGTGAGTCCCCTGCAGGCCCCTGGGCAGCACACCTCCCCAAAGCATGGGTTTGTGTCCACTTTTCTGTAAATCTTACACCACCTGGACCCCGGGCTGGTGGTGAGGATCCCGCGCGGGGGGGGGGACTTCATCCCCAGGAGAGGTCTGGGATGCGTGTAGTTTCCTGTCTCACCACCGACAGCTGAATTTCCTGCCAGCTGAGGGTCCCCCTGCTTCTCCCTTGTGGGAACCCCACACGCCAGCCGCACACAGCAGACCTGCTCACATCCCAGGTCGCTGTGGCACCTGGGACATGTGCAGTTTGCTCTCACGCTCGTTTAAGTACTGGGAACACCTTGGCCGGTGCTTGATCTTTGGCTAGAGCGAGTGGGGGCAGCAGTTATGAGTATCAGGTGCTGGCAGTTCTGATCGTTAAGACACTTGGTTTCTTCTTGGCCACACCCATGTTCCTTTTTTCTTTTTCTTTTTTTTTTTTTTTAAGAAGTGAACGGTTTGCTTCTGCTTTTTGCTGCATATTCAGTGTAGCTTAGAAAGCAGATCCAGAAATGGAAAGAGGAGCAGGAGGAAGGAGGCATCGTGGTATGACTAGGAGTGCGAGGACATGACCCCAGTCTCAGGAGGAGGAGAGGGCCATAGAGAGGGGAGCTGCTGGGAGCATCGGTATGGGGGTGGATGCCTCTGGAGTCTGGCTCCCGGGCCCTCCCTGGCCGTGCATGGGCCAGGCCTCAGTTTCCCCTCTGAGAGCAAGGTTGACTCCTCCCCTTGGAGGGCCTGGGCTCCCTCCTGCTCTCTAGTTATGCCCCAGGCCCTTGCCCGGTGCCAGAGTCCTGTACGGTGTTAGGTGGCCCAGCTTCCTCTCAAGGAAGGACTGATCCTGCCCTACTGGGGACAGGAAGTGGGAAGGAACATGTCAGCCTTTATGCAGTTTGTGGGGCCGCTAGGCTGTACCCCACAGCATAACCTCATGATCAAGGCAGACTGGGCCCTCCACCCCATGCGGCCTTTCTGGGGGCAGGTGTGACCAGCCCTTTTGGGCCAGATCACTTGGGGCATCCTGCTTCACAAGAGGGCACACTTGAGTGTGGCTGGGGTGCCATGTTCTCCAGCTCCATCCCAGCTGGGTGTGCTTCTGTCAAAGGTGGCTTCTGTCAGGACTGTGCCACCGTGGCCACTGGAAGTAGTGGCCACCCAGGGAAGGACTCAGTGCCCTTGGCTGGCTGGGCCCCACCCCTGCAGCAGGGCAGTGCCAGATGATGTTCCTGCCCCACACTGCCAGGGTTTTAGCCCTTGAGGGAGGGCAACAGGGTCAGCTGAGGCCCAGGAAGATGCCCTGCAGGGGGAGGCAGGCAGGCCACTCTAGTCCTCAGCCCACCCTGAGTGTGCACCTGCTACCCATGGCGGCCGGCTCAGGTGGTCGGGGCCTGGAGGGCGGGGCTCTGGGGACACACTCCAGGAACAGGGCGGAGGGCGGGGTGGCCAGTAAGACCTGTGGCACTTCCGTGTGTGCAGCTTGGCCCTCACTGAAGACTTGTCTTTCCTGGTGCGTTTGCAGTCCTGGGATGTCGGAGCTTCCGGGCAGGAACCACCCAGGAGTCTACCGCTGGGGGCTGTGGGGTGCTCGCTGGCATGTGGAGGGGCGGGGGCGGGGCCTACCCTGCTTTCCCCAGTGTCCCCAGCCCCCGGGAGGGTGCCTGAAGGGGTATCCTGGGGCAGAGGCACCTCATGAGGTCCGTGGTGGGGAATCCCTTGAGGTCATTCTCTCCCTGGAGCAGATGCTCCCAGATGGGTCCACACACATCTGCTGGGTTGTGGGTTTGCTGCTGTGAACAGGACCTGGGCAGCTGCCTGACCATCGCCCTGTGTCCCCTCCGGGCCACTCTGCCGAGAGGAACTCATGTTCCTGAGGCACCAGCACACCACAGGCTCCCAGGAAGACCTAAGCGGTGGGCTGGGTGGGCATGGGATAGACCGATCCCGCCCTCCACCCCCATCCCCAGACACACCCAGGGCCATCCTGCCCAGGAGAGGGCAGCAGAGGCGGCCCTGGGCCTATGGGTGGGAAAGCAGGGCCACCAGAGTTCAGTGGGGGGCTAGGGGGGAATCCTTGCTCGGTAGGACACCTGGGAGAGGCGTCACCTGGATGTGATGCTCAGCATGTGGCAGCTTCCTCTAGGTCCCTGCCTTTTGTGTATCCAGCAGGGGGTCCCTTCTCCATCCTCCCCAGGGCCTGTGCATATGGTGCGGTGGTCTCAGAATAGCGGTGCTTTAGCCAGATTACCGTGTTGGCCTACATCGAGGATTAGGAGAGCGGGCCCGCCCAGGGACCAGCAGACAAGCTGCCCTGGCTGGGACACAGGGCAGCCCGAGGGGAGTCTGCCGGCTGCCTTGGGGGCCCCCAGGGGGAGCCCTACAGGGGCCGGCAGTGGAGGAGGGGGCTGTACCAGCCCAGCACACGCCCTCCTGGGTGTCCCTGTGTGGCAGGGTGCTCCCCAACCCCCAGAGTCTGTACCTGGCCCTGTGCACGAGTCCTGAGCATGCCCGTGTCTGGGTGGGCAGGTTGAGGAGCAGCCTTTTCCTGTGCTAAGTGGGCGGGGCTGGCTGTCTTGGGAGGGATTTAGTGCTCAGAGGGTGGGTAGCGGGCAGGGATTACCACCCCCTGCCAGCTCTTCTGGAAGCACCCCAGGCAGGTTCCTGAGGCTGCACCCCACCTGGAGGTGGGTCCTGCTCGGCATGCTGGGGGTGGTCGGGTGGGCGCAGAACTGGGCGGCTGTCGTCTGCAGCTGCCCCTGCTCTCCGTCTTGAGCTGTGTGCTGGGGGTGATCCACCTGCCCAAGCATCGGAGGGGTGAGGAAGCTGTGGTCCCTTGGGGGTCAGCCCCCACATCCCACTGGAAGCTTTCAGAACAGGGCTCAGCTGCTGCTGCTCTGACTGAGGCTGTCTGGAGGAACAGGGATGGAGACCCTCCCAGGTGCCGAAGTCCAGGACTGCATGGCCGGGGAAGCCACATGTTTGTGGCTGGTGTGTGTGTGATACCAGCTAGCCCCGGGTGAGGCAAGGCCAGGCTGGCGCTGGGTTCCAAGTCCAGTGCACATGGTGGGGGCAGGGGCACCAGCTGCCCCACCCACTTCCAGTTCTGGATGCATCCCTCAGGCCTCGCTGATCTCCTCCCTCACCTGCAGGAATGCCAGGACCCAGACCTGTCGTCCTGAGTGGACCGTCGGGGGCAGGGAAGAGCACCCTGCTCAAGAGACTCCTGCAGGAGCATGGCAGCATCTTCGGTTTCAGCGTGTCCCGTGAGGCCCACTGTGGGGTTGGGGGGCCAGGCCTCCTGCTGACCCACCGTGGGGGGGGCCCCACACTGCACCCCCTGACCTAGAGCTTCCACAACTACCTGTGGGGGAGCCCTGCCCAGCCCTCCACCCGACCTGGAGCCCCCACACCCACCTGTGGAGGAGTGCCACACCCACCCAGAGCCCCACACTGTTCCCCCTGACCTGGAGCCCCCACACCCATCTGGAGCCCCACACTGCTCCCCCTGACCTGGAGCCCCCACACTATACCCCCTGATCAGGGCCCCACACTGTTCCCCCTGACCTGGAGCACCCACACCTGCCTATGGGCCGAGCAGGTCCTGTGGGGAAGGCCATACATGGCATGCAGGGGCTCCAGGTTCCCAGATCGGTCATAGGTGTTTGTTCCTAGACACCACGAGGGACCCACGGCCTGGAGAAGAGAACGGGAAAGGTGAGCTTACCCTTCGGCTTCTGTCTCATCTGAGAGATGGACCTTCTCTCCTAGCAGTGTCCAGAGCCCCCTTCCCGAGGCTGGCAATGTCCAGGCTCCTCCCTACCTAGGCTGGCAGTGTCCAGGGCCCCTTTCTGAGGCCAGCACTGTCCAGGTCTCCTCCAACCTTCCCTTGGGAAGCCGGAAGTTTCCAGGCTCTCCTTGGTGTCATACATGTCTGGTCCATGCTCAGTGCCCTCCATGTGGGGTCAACGGGTGCACGGGAGATGCTGGTTCTGGCCATACTTGGTGCCGGAGCCCCGGTGGTCTGGCCATGGGCAAGACTTAGATGGCCCTTCCTGGCAGATTACTACTTCGTGACCAGGGAGGTGATGCAGCAGGATATCGCGGCTGGCGACTTCATCGAGCATGCGGAGTTCTCCGGGAACCTGTACGGGACCAGGTGGGCCACACTTGGCACCTCCACGCCCTCCCAGGGGCTCTGCCTTCAGCTAGACCTAGGCAGGGAGCCTCTGGGGGTTGTCTAGGTCTGGGTAGTTGAAGTCAGGTACCTAGGCCTCCTCCTCCCGGCCACCTCTGTCCACCTGGCCAGGCCACAGTGGGGTCCGTGGGACCCTCTAGGGACTGGCACACAGTGAGGACTTGGGGAATCTGGGTCTCCTAGGACCACAGGCTGTACTCCACATTGGGGTGCCCACCCAGTCCTCAATACTTCTCTGCCAGCTCCTCCCACCCGGCTGAGAGGCCCAGGCCAGCCGGTGTCCCCAGCCTAGTCCTGAGCCACTGGCGAGGTTGAGCCAGAGACCCCATGAGATTACTCTTGCTCCATCCTAGGCTCTGGGTGCAGCTGGGCAGAACAGTGGGCTCCCTGAGGGGGTTCACTGGGGCTGTTGGGCAGGTGCCTGGAGCCCCGGGGCTATGCAGTGACAGCCAGGGCCCTTCTGCTGCTTCCCACAGCCACCCTCAGCCCAGCAGAGGGCCCAGCACACATGTGCTTCTGGAATGGTGGAGGAGGTGCTGGGGTCCCAGTAGGTTCCTGAGTTCATGCCCAGCCAGGCCCATGCACTGCAGAGGCGCTCTCAGGCCTGGAAGGGCTGCTGGGCCCCAGAAGCCCCACTGAGCCGTCACCGCCCCTCTGTCCTCCAGCAAAGCAGCCGTGCGGGCCGTGCAGGCCATGAACCGCATCTGCGTGCTGGACGTGGACCTGCAAGGTGTACGTAACATCAAGAAGACAGATCTGCGGCCCATCTACATCTTTGTGCAGCCACCCTCACTGGACGTCCTGGTGGGGGCGGGCCCGGGCTGGGGGGCCCAGGGGCGGGGGTGGGGGCAGAAACAGCCAAGAGGCCCTGACCCTCCCCTGCACCTCAGGAGCAGCGGTTGCGGCAGCGGAACACAGAGACAGAGGAGAGCCTGGCCAAGCGGCTGGCTGCCGCTCGTGTTGACATGGAGAGCTGTGAGTGTGAGCACTGGCTACCTGCCGTCCCCCTAGGCTCCTCACCCACCAGGGGGACCCCCGGGGTGCTGGGTCACCAGAACTGACCCTACTCTCCCCCCTCCCCCACCCCAGGCAAGGAGCAAGGCCTGTTTGACCTGATCATCATCAATGACGACCTGGACAAGGCCTACCAGGCCCTGGAGGAGGCGCTGTCCGAGGTGGGCACTGCAGGGTTCGGGACTTCTCTGTCCTGCATGTGGGAAGAGGGGGCCTCTGGGCCATGGTGACACCCTTGTCCTTTTGGCAGGAAATCAAGAAGGCCCAAAGGACCAGCCATTCCTGAGAGGGACCGCCAGCTCTGGCCTCCCCAGTGGGGACTCCGCTCAACTCAGCCAGCACCTCCCTCGCCTAGATTGCCATGCCTGGAGGACCCTGGGCTCCCTTTACCCTCTCCTGTGGGAGTCAAGCCCATGTACTAATAAAAACTGCTAGGTAACTGTGTCTCTGAGCCTCTGGGTTGCTGTCCTGAGCCAGGGTGTTGGGGTCTGGGCCATGCACCTGTCCATTATGGACCCCCACTCCTGGCCTCCAGCCCTCAGCCTCCCTGGGGCTTCCTTTGCCCTTCCCCTAGGTCAGGGAGGTCAGCCTTGGGCTACTGGGTGGGGCCCTCATGGAGTAGATAAGGCTGCTGGAAAACTGTGCCTGGTGGAGGTGCCCTGAGGCTGTGGGGAGCAGGGCCCGGGGCTCGTCCTGCTTGAGCCGCTTCCTCTCCTGGTCTCAGCCTTGAGCTGGGCTGCAGTGGTGGCCACCACCCAAGGAGCCACAACCCCTGCATCCTGGGGACCTGTTTATACCCAGTGCTCCACTCCACCTTGTGCATGGTCCACTGGCCCCAGAAAGGCCAGGGCAGGGAGAACGCTTGGGGCCGTTGCTGGGGTTCCCAGATTCCCGGAGTCTCAAAAGACACCTATAGAAGACACTCCTCTCCAGTCAGGACTGCTGTGGCTTCTCCGTGCTGGGTGAGAGAGCTCCTGTCCCCAAGCCCTTTGTCCATGCCTAGGCCACGTTTCTGTGGTGGGATCCAGACAGTGGACACAGACCCAAGGTGGTGGCAGGGAGTGGTCAAGGAGGCTGGACTCCATCCCAAAGCCCAGATGCAAAGAGAAAGCAGGTGGGGGCCTGGCCTGGATCTGAGGGCTACTGGGCACCCCCCACCCCAGGCCTGAAGGCAGGTGAGGCGGGGCCAGACTGATGTACAGAGGGAGGGGGGGTGAGTAGGGGAGGCCCCTTCTCTCTCTGGGCCCTATCCAGCCCCAGGGACAATCGGGGATTCAGACCCCAGGCCTTGGGGGGAACAATGGAGCCCTTGAAGGCCCTCCCCCCCACATTGTGCTTGGTGGCGAGAGGTGGCCCTGGGTCGGGCCCAGGACCTAGCCAAGAACGCCTCGAGAGGGCCAGTGTCTACCCGGCTGGCAGGTGGAAGGGCTCAGGGACTCACATTTCCTGGCCTGGAAAAGGTAGGGCACTGCCCAGGGGCCCAGGTGTGGGTGGCCCTTTGGGGCTGAGCATCATGCACCCTGTCTGTGGGCCCAGGGTCTCGGGTCCAGGCTTGCCTCTCCTGACAGGGCCCGCCCTCTGTTGTGGTGGGGGCAGGGGGAACATGGCGCCCCAGGGGTTGTGCAGGCCAGCTGCTGAGCAGGAAGGAAGGGGAGTGCTCCGGACCTTCCCCAGCAGCTGGGGCTCCTCAGGGTGCGCTGGTCCGGCCAGCCCACACCAGGCAGCTGCAGCGTATCCTGAGGCCATTGGGCCTCAGTCTGCTCAGGGAGGCTGGGGAGGTAGACACACTCTAGCCGGGTGAATATACCTGCAAGCCCAGCACACTGCTCCTGACCTGGCCTGGAGCCTCCTCCCCATAAGTGCTCACGGGTGCCTGCTGGACCTCAGACTCTGGGTTTGGGGCACCAGAGGTCACAGAGAGCAGACCAGACCCCTGTTCTCCAGGAGCGGCCCCCAGTGTGCCACAGATGTGAGTGAGTTGTCTGGGTGGTCTAGGCAAGAATGGGGAGAAGGTGGGTGGCCTGGGCAGGATGCCAGGCCTGTGGCAAACTTCCCTGGAGAGGGTAGGTGGGCACAGCGATGGTGTGGGGTGTAGGGTCTGTACAGGAGGGGCCTGAGAAGGGTGGCAGGAGCTGAGGGAAGGGGGGAGGGAAGTGGAGGCACCTGGCCTGGCTGTGGGGGGGGGGGGGTGCGGCCTCCTGCCCTTGCCAATGGTGCCTGGGAAGGTCTGGAGGGTCCCAGAGTGGGGTGCTCTTGAGGTCCCCATGCCCAGGGCTCTCTCTGGATCTCCCTGCAGTAGCGGCCCCAGAACCACCATGACTCTCTCCCCAGTCACAGCCCCATATGGAGGAGGGGCTTTTGTGTGTGAGCAGAGAGTGAGGTGGGTGAGTGTGCTCATGCTTGTGTGTGCACCTGTGGACACATGTGGGTGCCTGCATGTGGACCAGCATGGAGTTGGGTAGGAGGGCGTCAGGAAGGCCCTAGGACCCTGTGAGGGTGGGGGCTTCTGAGTGCACGGGAGGAAGCCCTGGGCCTGTGACCCTAAGGGTGGACTGTGGGGGTGGAACCTATAGGTGGAGTGAGGAGCAGGACAGGGCATGAAGGCATCACCTCTGGGGGCTGGAGATGGGACAGAGGGGGTAGCCTGTTGGGCTGGGGAAGGGAGGAAGAGGAGGAGCTGGGGGATGAGCTGGGGAGGGGAGGAAGGGTGAGGGGCTGGGTAGGGAAGACTGAGGGGGTGCCTGGGGGAGGGGTTGGGGAGGAGAGACAGGGTACATGGTAGAGGAGCTGGGGAGGGGAGACAAAGGGGGCACCTAGGGGAGGGAGAGGGGGAGCCTGGGGGAAGGGCTGGGGAGGGGTATCCTTGGGAGCTGCAGGGGGCAGATGGATGTGGCAGAGGGTCACAGTTTTGGCGGGCAGCATAGGGATGCACAGTTTCTTCTGGGCCAGGTGGTCCAGGTGGAACCTGACTGGGGCATCTAGAACAGTGGTCCAGGGGCTCAGGGAGGGACATGGAGTACAGAACCCTGTGGAACAGCCACAGATCAGACCAGGGGAGACCTTGGGTGAGTCCTGCGGCTGAGTCAGGCCCTGGGCTCTGAGCTCTGAGTTAAGTTCAGGGCCATGCAGGTGCTCACATGTGAACGAGGGGCCACCCAGGGCTGGGCATGCTTAGGAAGGGGCTTGTCTCTGGCGCCCCGAGGTTCCCAGGAAAGGGTCCCACTGCATACCCAGTGAGCTGAGCATTCTGGGGGTGGGGGGCACTGGTAGCCCTGCCTCAGTGGGAGGAAGCCCCACTCTCATGAATGGGGAGTGCCCTGAGAGGGGCTCCTGGGAGGAAGCCCAGTCAGGGATTGCAAGGAAGTGGCTGGGCAAACCCTGTCCCTCAGCCCCCTTCACACCCCTTTCACTCCCAGGACCTTTGTCCAGACCCAGGGGCAACAGGAGCTTACCACCCTCCCCCTGAAGTCAGCCCCCTTCCCCCAGCCCTACTCCTGTCCCCTCCCAGACCCTGACATGCAGCCTTAACACCTGCTGCTGGATCCCACTGAGTGTGATCCGACCACACCTGCTCTGACACATCTGACCTGAGCACAGGTCCCTGCAAACCAGCACCCCTCCTCCCCACCAGGTGGTCACACTTCCTTCCGGCCAGGGTCCTTCCTGGGGCCTGCAGCCCAGGAAGGGCCATCAGCTGAGGTCCCTACTCCTTGCCTACAGGCTCCAGAGACATACCTGCCAGACAGGGCGGGGGGGGGGGGGGGGGGCACCTGGAAAGGGGGCTCCCAGTGATGGGGCAGAAAGGTACTGCAGTGCAGTTACTTTACAGCTCCTCATCAGTGCACCAGTGTCCTTACCTTCTCATGAACAGAAGTCCATGTTCCTCATTCTCTCTGTCCTACTGTCCTGGACTCCACCCAGGGTACCAGAGCATTTGCCCTCCAGTGCCCCCAGTGACATGTGGTCATCTCCCAAGGGTCCCCCCATGGTCTCTCCTGGCATATATTTGTCTGCAGGTTTTCATGTGACATTTAGTCACCTCTTAGGGTCTCCTTTAGGTCTCAGGTGGTATTTGTCTCCTGGAGGTGCCCCCAGGGTCTCAGTGTCACGTGGCCCTTGGGTCTTCTTGTCCACACTGCCATGTCCAGACCTCAGTTCCCTTGTGATCACACCCCTGGCTGCGTTGATGTCAGGTATCTGTCGCAGCCTCTACGACTGTTTCCTGGGGGCTTTCTGCAGAACACCTCAAGGGCGTGCACATGTGTGCTACAAACCAGCCTCTCACTAGGGTGGGGACTTTGGCCAGCATCCACTGTCCGTTCCTCCTTGCTGCGGGGGCTCTCTGGAAGGGCCCTTTTGAGAATGGGGAGCCATGTGGTGTGGGCTGCATAAACTGTGCAGAACTCTCTTCTCTTCCACTTGTTTACTCGTTTATATCAGTACGGACTCACATTTATAGTTCAGCATAGACGCTAGAACCCAATCCAAAATACTGCTTTACTCTGCTATTAACCAAATACATGCAGCTTCGGACACAGGGCACTCCTGCAACATGCTCCGGGGTCCCTCACTGTGTGTGCACACGAGCGTGTTTTGTGCGTAGGCATGTGCGTCTATGTGTGTGTAGCTGTGAGCTTATGTTTCGGTGCGTGTGTGAGCATGTGCGTGCTTGCGTACATCAGTGCGCGTGCATGCGTGCTTTGTGTGTCAGTTCGGGTGTGTCGCGTGGTCACTTGCATGCTTTGTGCATCCGTTTACCCATGTCAGTGCGTGGGCACACATTTGTGGGCCTCAGGATGGGGGTTGGGCATGGCCACTTGCCTGTTTTGTGAGTTGGTTCACGCGTGTCGGAGCCTGGGCAAGCGCTTGTGGGCATTGGGGCACATACAGCCATGTGCATATGTGTGCTTTGTGCGTCGGTGCGCACATGGGCGTGGGTGCCCCAGCTCGTGGGTCCTTGCTCTCCCACCCAAGCATGTGCCCTGGCATCTTTCCTGTCCCCAACCTGGCACCAGGCACTTCTCCATAAGCACCTTGTCCTTTATAGAGAGTGGAACCCCATGCTGTGCATGTTTGCTGCTTTGGATGTTTGCACATTGCCACCGTTTCAGCTGACGGGCAAGGGAATATGCGTCTGTACAGACCCATGTGCTCATTCGTGCCTGTGGCATTCCCTAGGGAGCCATCTTTGTCATGTTCAGCTAACATGGGTTCAGACCCAGGTCTCCCACACTAACCCACAACCACATGGGACATTCCAGCCGCCCCTAGCCCCCTCTTGTCTACAACCCCCAGGCAGTGAGAACCCTAAAGCTGACAGGTGCCCTCTGTGAGTCTCTGTCCCCCACCCAAAGGGAGCCTGCCCCAGTGAGCAGGGGGATGGAGGAGAGGAGCCTCGCTCCCTTGAACTCCTGCTGACCACGTTATCTCCTGAGCTGAGGGTCTTTGGGGCCAGCTCTGACGTGTCCTCTCTCCCTGACACACCTCATCTCTGGGGCTCTGACCCTCACACCTCAGGGCAGGGTCTGCCCCAATGCAGAGCTAGAGCTAGTCTGAGAGCCCTCCGTGCAGGTCTCCTCCAGTTGGCCATGGGCGTGGTGGGCACAAGTACACCCCAGAATCCGCAAACCCTACGTGAGGGTCCCCCACATGCCTAGAGCTGGTTGTTAAATACTACACACCAAGGTCTCTTCCTCTTCCCACTTCTCCTGGGGCTCTGTCTTGGGAGGAAGAGAAGAGGTGGGTGCCCTTCTGCCACCACTTTTCTGGATTCTTGTGGATTGGGACTGTGAGTGTCAGCCTCCTGTGATGTGGTCGGGGCAGGGACATATCCTGGAAGAGTTGAGGTTAGAAGAGGGTGGGGGAAGCACTGGGGGGGAGAAGGGGGAGTTCCTGCCTGAGATGGGGGGTAGGAGAAGGCAGCCTCAGAGGACTGGGTGTGCGTGTGCGACAGTATTAATGTGTACAGATGTGATTATGTGTGTCTTAGTGCTCATAAAATATCTGAGCAAACCTCTGTGCATTTTTTTTAAGTTTATTTATTTTGGGGGGAGAGAGAGAAGGAGAAGAGCAGAGAGGAGGACAGAGGAGAGAGAGAATTGAAAGCAGGTTCTATGCTATCATGACAGAATGGGGCTTGAACTCACGAACTGTGAGATCATAATCTGAGCAGAAATCAAGAGTCAGATGCTCAGATGACTCAGCCGCCCAGGTGCCCAAATATCTGTGCATTTGCTTGTCAGTTTGTGCACACAGGGCTGTGCATGTGTCTGTGGGTCTGTGTGCACCAATGTATGCATGTATGTGTCTGTGTGGCTCTGAGAGGGGCCTGTGTGGGTGTGCATCTGAGAAGCATGTGTGCCTGTGTGGCTCTGAGAGGGGCACTGGACGCAGATGTGAGGAAGGAGGGTCACTTCCCCAGGAACCCCAGCTGCCCCCTCTTCCTGCCCCCACCCACCGGGAGAGGCCCCAGCTGCATAAAGTGGAGCTTCCCCGGAGCCCCTGTCCATGTCTGCCTCTGCTGCTCTATCCTACACCTGCCCAGGCTGCCTCCCAGGCCCATTCCAGAGGCAGGGGGCCAGAAGCATCAGGGGCTCCTGTCCCCAGACTACCCAGAAGCAGGTAATGACCCTGCTGGTGAAGAAGGGAGGGTGGGCATTGGGAGCTGTAGCCCCTTCCCCCTTTCTGGAGGCACAGGGAGGTGAATGGCAGTGGGCTTCTCTCACCTGGCACAGGCCCACCCAGGGATCAGCTGATCTGCAAGGGGGACTGGTCTGGGATGTGGTGAGTGGCCCGTGGCTGTCTCCAAGTGCCACAGATGCCCTGGTGTCTGTGTGCCTCATGGGACCTCTCCCTCCTGGACAGAGGCCTGGCCTCACTTGGCTTCCCAGAGGGGATATCCCGGGCTATGAGACTACAGAGAGCAGGGTGGTGTCGGGACTAGAGAGGGAAACAGACCAGAGGGTTTGGCAGCAGCCCAAGGGCAGTAGGTCCCTTGAGGGGGGTATGAAGGAGTATGAAGGCCCTCTGTACAGACAGAGGAAGCAAATGCCCCGTGTAGGGTGTGGAGGAGGGAGCAGGGAGGGGTGCACTGCTGGGGCAGACTGGGGACAGAAGGGGCTGCAAGGTCTGGGGGCTTGGGGCAGATGTTTGGGGGGGGGCCAACGGGGGCTCCATGGGGTGGGTCTGGGGATGAGGGCCAGTGGGGTGGCTGAGGACCTGGGGGCCTAGAGGGGTCCAGGATGCTGGAGAAAGGACTCCATGAGACCCTTTTCAGTGGCCTGCACACTCCCTGGGGTTGAGGAGGGGGGCATGGATCTGAGCTGCCCTGAGTGGGGCAGGCCTTGGTTTCCCTGTTGGCCCCATGACCCTGTGGCTCCCTGGGCCTGGGGTGGGGTCTCCAGACCTGAGGGGTGCGGCTTGCAAGGGGCTGGGCTTTTCTTGGGCGCTGGTGCTGCTGCAGACTGGCTGCTGCCCAGCCTCTACCCACGGAGGACTTGGCTTCCAGTATCCGTCCCCAGGGCACAGTCAGGACCGAAGGTTGGCACGGCGCTCCTGGAGAGGCTGCCCTAGCTCCCCCTAGGCAGGGTCCCTGGCTCCGGGCGACCGAGGTCCTCCCCCCGCCCCATCCTCCCGCGACGCCCGCCCCGGGGTGAGTCCCTCCAGGCTAGCGGGTCCGGCTCCCCCAGGGATTGAGCTCCACTCCCGCTCCCGGTCCGCAGGTCCCGCCCCCCGCCCCTATGACCAACATGAGCTGGAGCTTCCTTACGCGGCTGCTGGAGGAGATCCACAACCACTCCACGTTCGTGGGCAAGGTGTGGCTCACGGTGCTGGTGGTCTTCCGTATCGTGCTCACGGCCGTGGGCGGGGAGTCCATCTACTCGGATGAGCAGACCAAATTCACTTGCAACACGCGCCAGCCGGGCTGCGACAACGTGTGCTACGACGCTTTCGCTCCCCTATCCCACGTGCGCTTCTGGGTCTTCCAGATCGTCGTCATTTCCACGCCATCCGTCATGTACCTGGGGTACGCCGTGCACCGCCTGGCCCGCGCCTCAGAGGAGGAGCGCCGCCGCGCACCTCGCCGCCCCCCGACCCGCGCGCCCCTGCCACTGCCGCCGCCGCCCCACCCCGGCTGGCCCGACACCGCTGGCATGGGCGAGGAGGAGCCCATGCTGGGGGGCCTGGGCGAGGAGGACGAGGAGTCGGGGGCGGCCGAGGGCCTGGGCGAGGAGGCCGAGGCCGAGGACGCGGGCGCGGTCAAGGGCGCAGGCGGGGACGCCAAGGCGGCTGGGGTCCCGGGTCCGGCCCGGCAGCACGATGGGCGGCGGCGCATCCAGCGCGAAGGCCTGATGCGCGTGTATGTGGCTCAGCTGGTGGCGCGGGCCGCCTTCGAGGTGGCCTTCCTGGTGGGCCAGTACCTGCTGTACGGCTTCGAGGTGCGGCCTTTCTTCGCGTGCAGCCGCCAGCCCTGCCCGCACGTGGTCGACTGCTTCGTGTCGCGGCCCACGGAGAAGACCATCTTCCTGCTGGTCATGTACGTGGTCAGCTGCCTCTGCCTGCTGCTCAACCTCTGCGAGATGGCTCACCTGGGTCTAGGCAGCGCGCAGGACGCGGTGCGCGGCCACCGGTCCCCGCCCGGCGTCCCCGGCCCCGCGCCACGCCCGCCGCCCTGCGCCCTGCCGGCCGCGCCCGCCGGCCTGGCTTGCCCACCCGATTACAGCCTGGTGGTGCGCGCGGCCGAGCGCGCGCGCTCCCACGACCGGGACCTGGCGAGCTTGGCGCTGCAGGCGCTGCGGGACGGGCACGCGTTGGAGGACCGCGACAGCCCGCCCTGCCCCGGCCTCCCTGCTGCCGCCAGGGGGCCCCAGCGGGCCGGCGCCCCTGCCTCTGGGTCGGGCAGTGCCACCTCTGGTGGCACGGGCGGGGGCCAGGGCAGGCCCGGCGCCAAGCCCAGGGCGGGCTCAGAGAAGGGCAGTGCCAGCAGCAGGGAGGGGAAGACCACCGTGTGGATCTGACTGCCCGCCCCTGAGGTTGCCTGAGCCCCTCCAGGCCATGGCTGGGGTGGGGGGCTCTAGGGGAAGGCCAGGGGCTGGATGCGCAGAGCTCAGGGCGCGGAACACCACCTGCCGTCTAGGGGGAACCTGCGAAGGGTCCCCAGCTCTGATCCCTAAACCCGGAAGGGTTTATGGGACTGTGGCTGCGGGGGAGGGGGACAATGTTCCTCCCACCCCCAGAGCCAGTCTGAGCCTCACCTGTGGGAGTGCTTGGCCCTGTCCTCTGAGCCTCCCTTGGACCCCTGGCTGCCTCAGGACAAGGGATCCAGCGCGGGTGTGTGTTGGGGGGAGGGGGCTTCACTTTCTCCTCTGCCTGGTCCCGTGCAGCAGCCCATGTGTGTCACTGGGTGGTGGGGGGTATGCCTGGCCTGCTGAACTGGGGGCACCGCGCTCCTCCACACTGCCTGCAGCAGCAAATGGGGATCCTTCCCAAGCATCCCCACCCCCAAACCACTTCTTGTTGTCCTGCAGAGCTGAGAGCACTCCTAGGTCCTTCTGGTACAGAAGGGGAAACCGAGGTGGGAACAGGCCGCAGAACGGGAACTGCCTCATCCTCCTCTGGGAGAGCAGGGCCCGTCCCTTCTGTGCTGAGCTTCCCCCGCCACGTCCCTCCCCTCCCTTATTCAGACAGAACCTCCAGAGCAAATAAAATAAAACTAACTTTTGTTTACAACCGCGTGTGTGGGTGCACATGGGGCATGCGCACACATAGTTTGTGTGTGCGCACATGTACGTATACCCCAGCGCGCACTCGTGTGAGTGTGCATGGGTGTGATATGTGCACATGTGTATGTGGTGTGTGCATGCGCACGTATGTGTGTGCACATGTATGTGTGTGTATGTCTGCCACGGCTCTCCTGGGACATGCAGCTCAGCTTCAGGCTGGCTGGGAGAAGCAAGGCTCAGGACAGTGGGTGCCTTTCAGTGCCAGGCAGCGGGCGGGGGGGGGGCTCAGCCGAACGCACAGATGCTGAGAACAAAGAACACGTCCTGGTGTCCACACTCAGGGTCTAAGGTTGGCCTGCAGTCACAGGCCAAAAAGGCAGAGGACAGTGGACGGCATTATCTGGATGCTGGTCACAGCCTGCAGAATGAGGGGCAGAGGTGGGCACACAGGTGGGGAGCCCCATCGCTCTTGACCCAGCTGTCCCCAGTCCCTCTCAGGCCCATAGCACCCCTCCTGGCCTGCAAACCCTCTTTGGTGTACCCACACCAAACCCCGGTCCCTATGTCTGCCTGCCTCTGATGCCAAGTGCATGCTGGGTCCCCGGGGGGAGCCCCACCCCAGGGAGTCCTGTAGAGCTATGCCAATTCAGATTCAGAGTGAACACCTTGCCTCTCTAAAGGGGAAGGCTCAGGGGCCCGCCAGTGTTGTCCTGAGGGAGGCCAGGTCTCTGTGTGTGGCCTGGGCCTCCTCACAGTATGGTGGCTCAAGAGGACCTGGCAAAGGCCAAGGACTCTTATCAGCAGCCCCCCAAGTCACACCATTTCCACTGCAGCCAAAGGCCTGTGGGATCCAGGAGCGACCAGGATCCTTCCTGGCAGGCATTTAAGAGGTACATATGGGATGGGAACACATGGGCCCTGCAAGCCTTAGTCAGCTGCCCCTCATGGATGAAGCCTCTCCCCCACAACGCCAGGGACTGCTCTTGGGAATCTGCACTCATTGATCCTTAAACCACAACCCTACCATCCTTCTATAAATCCCCTCAAAGGTGTAGCCTGTGCGATTTCCCTATCTCAGTCCCCTTTCCCCCCCACTCTCAATTGGTCTAGATACAATGTGAGGCAGTTTGGGTTACCAGGAGGCGGACTCTCCCCTAGGGCTGCTGGGGAAACTGGTTTGCTGTGGGTCAGGCTAGGTGTCTGTACCCAGTGGTTCCTGCCAACACCAGCCTAGATGTCACAGTGAAGGTGTGTTTTTAGATGAGATTAACACTGACAATGAACACACTTTGATAAGGCAGATTGGCATCCCTAGCGTGGGTGGGCCTCATCCAATCAAGGGATGGCCTTAAGAGCAAAGACAGGTTCCTGAAGAAGCCATTCTACATCCAGACTGCTGCTGCTGGTAATATTTCTGTCAGCCTGACTGGGCCCTGGGATTCCCAGAGTAAACACAATTCTGGGGGTGTCTTTAAGGTGATTCTGCATGATATTCACACTGAATCTTTAGACGGAGTCAAGCCCCTCCCTTCCCAATCCCCATGTGGGTGGGCCTGACTCAAATCAGGTGAAGGGCTGAGGAGAACAAGGAAGTGGAGAGAAAGGGAACTCCTTTTGCCTGAGTGTTTGGGCTGGGACCTTGCTTCCCACCTGCAGATGCCCTCAGGCTGGGCCGACAACCCAGTTCCCAGGCTTCCAGCCTACCCTGCAGATTTCAGACCTGCTGGCCCTCTCTCTATGTATGTCCTATCGGTTCTGTTTTCCTGGAGAATCCCATACACATCCTGTCAGCCAGAGCGTGTTAACAGTGCACCCTGTCACCCCTGTCTCGAGATTTGGGGGCCCTTCAGTCTTGTGAACTTTCCACGGCCGTGGTGTTGGTTCTGTTGTCACAGCCTCCCCACTGCTGCCACGCCTCGCTGATGTCTCGCCCTCCCCACCTAAGTCGCTGGCCATCCCAGGTCCCAAGCAAACCTGTGCATCACCCGGGGTCCTACCTCTGACACCCTGTCATTGCAGACACTGCCTCGATCCCATGCCAGAACCAATACTCTGAAGGACAAGGCATGTAAGTTGCTCAGGACTGGGAACTCCCAGAGGCAGAGACGGAGCCCAGCACTAAGCCTGGTGCTTCACGCTCACTGTGCTACTTGAAGAAACCTCTCCCAGTGCCTGACTTGGTTTCCCCACACACCTGGGATGGCATGAGGATGAAGGTCTGAACCCAGGGCACAGAGCCCAGGCCTCCCTGCCTCGCCTTACTGTGTGGTGGGAGGGGGGTCCCTGGGCTGGGCTGGGGGGTGGCCAGGACAGGAGCCGACGGGATGGCCTTCTTGTCTCGCTGTCATCCGTTTCCACGGCCAGAGCCAACTCGCCGGCTGCTCAGGGAGAGCGGAGGGCCATGGGGGGCGGGGGGTGATGCTTACGTGCTCCCAGAATGGAGTCAGTTTCCTCCCCGCCTTTGGGAAGGGAGGAGACCATGAGGGGAGAATAACAGGAAGCCGTCCCTGGCCCAGCGGCCACTGGGAAGTAGGGTCTAGTACCCCCACGCCTGCCGGGCTCCCAGCTCTCCACCCCTCCAGGGCTCAAAGCAGGCAATGGCACATGGACCCAGGCCCACCAGTGGGGTTCCCTGGGAGTCTCTGTGGTCAGGCAGACCCCAGCCACCCCCCCCCCCCAACGTGGAGCTGCAGGCACGAGGCAGGAGGCACCTGAGAACGGACAGCCCATGCATAAGGATCCCCACTGCCAGGCTGGCCAGGCTGGCCCAGAGATCTGGGAGGGCTTCCTGGAGTAGGGGGCTTGGGGCAGTGCTGGCTGGCAGGTGCAGGCAGCTGCCAGCTGCACGTGGTCCTGGGCACTTCAGTGTGGCTCTTGAGAGAAGCTGAAGGTTTCATTCAGCTTGGTCTGAGTTGCTGAGCCCTTGACCAGCTGGGTGTGGGTGGCGGTTGTGCTGGACAGCGCCAAGCAGGCTGCCCCAGGAAGGTCGAGGGAGGTTCCAGGTGGCGCAGGGGCAGCAGTGCTGCTGGGAAGCAGACTCCTCTGCTGGCCAAGGGACCGGCTGACGTGAGGCTGGAGGAACGTGCCCCCCACCCCATGTCATCCTGGCCCCTTCCTCCCCGCCCTCCCCAGCCTGGCAGGGATGTGTGGGGTCACCTGTGGAATGCCAGGCCAGGCAGAGGAAGACCTTCTCCACAAAGGGCAAGCAGCCACAGGCCAGTGGTCAGGAGAGCCGCATACCAGGCTTGGCACGTCACAGCCAGGATGCTAGCCAGGAGGGGGACCGAGGGCCCAGGAGACGCTGGGGGGCTCAGGGGCCATCCATATCCCTCACCATGCTGCCAGCATGTCCTTGGGCAGGGCTGGGCAGGGGAAGGGGAAGCTGGGCAAGCAGGGGGGCTGAGGAGCCTGAAGCTCAGGGACGGGTGGACACCTGGCATTGGCGCTCTGACCGTGTGCTGATGGGCCCTTCACGTTGAGATCGTCCATGTTATCTGTGCCCTGGGGATGCAGCAGAGAGCCACACACTCAGACCAGATAAATCAGTAGAGCGTCCAGTGCCTCAGGGGAGGCCAGGGCAAAGGGGCCAGTGCTAAGTAAGACCTTGGGTGGAAGGCTGTGGGGTCACTGACCGTGGGGCTGCAGCCCTTTACAGGGGTTGCCCTTTGGGGTTCACAGTTGTCCTCAAGTGGTCCTCTCAGCATCCAGTCCTGAGAAGACCACCTGGTTAATACAGGGGGTGGGCACAGCCGCCCTACCCCCTGGATGCAGGTGTTGGAGGGGAGTTGTCAGACACAGAGCTCCAGGGCCCCGGGCAGGTGTGCAAGTCATGCTTGTGCAAACACACTTGTGTTTCAGGAACAGGATGCTCAAGGCAGAGTGCCCGGCGGGCTGAGGGTCTGGAATTTGGGGGAAAGGCTTTGTGTGTGGACACGGACTTGGAGCTGCAGCTTGCAGGTGGCATGGGAAGTTGTGCAGCTGGGGGAGGTTGGTGAGGCAGTGGGGGCATGCGGGGTCCCAGAGCCTCACACTGGGGGCTGGCTTGGCATCCCCTCCAGCCCCGTTTGCACGCAGCATTGGGACTGGGGTTCAGACAGCTGGACCAGGGCAGGAGGGGCAGTGGGCAGTGGAGCCCAGGCCACACAGATCCGGAGTGGGGGTAGAAAGCCAGCCTCCATCCCCCACCTTGGCTGGGGCTCTGGGGAGTGCGTGAGGGAGTAAGAGGCAGTACTTATGCAGCACAGTTTCTCAGTTTTCCCCAAAGGGGAGCAAAAACAGGACAACAGCTGATGGGGGAAGCAGGGCTTAAAAGCTATGCCCCCCATATACCCACATGCGAAGCTCTAGCCCCCGTGTGACTATGTCTGGAGATGGGCCCTCTGGAGGTAATTAGGGTTCCCTGAGCCCTGGCCCCGCAGGGCTGGTGTCTTATTGGAAGAGACACCAAAGATGACAGGGCACCATATGCATGCCACGGAGAGAGGCCTCACCAGACACTGACTGGCCCTGTTCTTGGACCTCCAGCCTCCAGAGCTTAGAGAAACAGGTGTGTGCTGTGTAAGCCACCCCGTATGTGGCATCTGTTGCACAGCTGATTCACACACTTGTGAAAACAGTATGGAGGTCCCTCAAAAAGTTAGACACAGAATTACCATATGAACCAGCAATTGCCCTGGGGTATATGCCTGTGATAGTGTGAGGTATAGTAAGAAATATGGACTCTGCCCTTGTCACTGTTCCTGGCACAGAGCTCCTAACACCCTCGGGTTTCCCAACTGAGGAGGGCAATGAAGGTGTCAAGGTGTTCATAACAAGCCCGAGTCCATGTTGTTGCGGGGACTGTGGGAAGCCCCAAAGGATGGGGGCTGGTGGCCGAGGGACCCAGCTGTGGGACCAGAGGGTTGGAGACTTCAGGGGCGCCTGGGTGCCTCGGTCAGTTAAGCGGCTGACTTCAGCGCAGGTCATGATCTCGCAGTTCGTGGGTTGGAGCCCCGTGTTGGGCTCTGAGCTGTCAGCACAGAGCCTGGAGCCTGCTTCAGATTCTGTGTCTCCTCCTTTCTCTGCCCTTCCCCTGCTCATGCTCTGTCTCTCAAAAATAAAACATTTAAAAAAATCAAAACAAAACAAAACAAAACAAAAAAACCCTCAGAGGGTTGGAGGCTTCAGTCCCACCCCCTGGCCTCTGGGGAGGGGAGAGGGAATCAATCACCAATGGGCAATGGGTTAATCAATCAGGTCTATATAATGAAGCCCCCATGAAAACCCAGAAGGTCTCAGGGTGGACGGGGATGCTTCCAGGCTGGTGAGCACGTGGAGATGTGGGGAGAATGACGTGCCCAGAGAGGCATGGAAGCTTCCCGCCCCTTCCCCAGCACCTCACCCTGGGCGTCTCTTCCTTCGGGCTGTCCCTGAGTCATATCCTTTTATAATAAACCACTAATCTAGCAAGTGAAACATTTCCCTGAGTTCTGTGAGCCGCTCCAGCACATTCATCAAACCCGATGAGGGCCTGTGGCAACCTCTGATCTCCTGCCTGTGGGTCAGAGCATAGGTGACATCTGGCCTTGGGGTTGGCATCTGAAGTAGGGGTGCTCTTGTGGGGCTGAACCTGTGGAGTCTGATGCTGACTCTCTGTGGACAGGGTCAGAGCAGAGAACCCCCTTCAGCAGGTGTGGCAGACTTCCCCTCAAGCACAGGGGGCGATCCTACATGTCAGAGGGCAGAGTGCGAGCAGAGGACACACAGGAGTGTGGTTGTGCATACAACACCCAAAGGAACTCAAAGCAGGGTCTCCAAGAGATGTGCACACATGTAGCAGTAATATCCACAACGCATAAGGGGTGGAAGCAACACAGACGTCCACAACCTGTCATACACCCGTACAAAAGAATCTTACCCATCCTTCAAGAGGAAGATCGGACCCCTGCTACCTCAAAGACAAACCTGGAGGACGCTCTACAGCGCCAGCCAGTCACAGAACAACACACATTGCGGGATTCTATTCATGAGAGTCAGGTTCCCGGAGACAGAGGTGAATGGGGGCCCCAGGGGCTGGGTGCCAGATGATTAGTGGTATCAGTGGTCGGCAAGATGGTTAAGTTCTGGATAGAAGGAGGGTGCCGGCTGTACACAATGCGCAAGCGCTGGCTGCGGCTGAACTGGGCGCTTGAGACGTTAGCGATGGAGACCTTCATTTTATGCGCACACCACCATAGTAAAGCAAGAGGAAACCTCTTGGAGATCAGCAGCAGGGCAGGTGCTTCCAGTGGAGGTGCCGGGCCAGGAGCAGTCGCGGGCGGGCCGAGAGGCTGACGGACAGCGCCATACCCCGCCCCTTAGGCACAAGCCCCACCTCACAGCTCCGTCCCCGCCCTTCTCTCACACAAGCACGCCCTGCAAGTTCAGTCTCTGCCCCTCCCCGGTACAAGTCCCGCCCAGCACCCTCCGTCCCCTCCCAACTAGCCGCTCCGTCCAGAGTGCAGGACCCCCCTTCTCCGCACAAGTCCCACCCTGCAGGCCTCGTCACCGCGCACGCTCCGCCCCCTCGCGCAGCCTCGCCCGCCCTCAGAGGCCGCTGTGGCGTCCTCCCGCCCGCCCTTGCCACCGCCCATCCCGCTCCTTCGCGCCGCCTCACTCCTCCCAAGATGGCGGTCGCGGCGCTGCTCCGCAGCGCGGCTCAGGGGCGCGGCGGCCGGGTCTGGCGCTGGCGGCTGCGCATGGCCGCGAGGGGCCGCCTGACCCACGGCTCGGGCCGTCACGGGTGCGAACCCGTGGGCGGCACGGCATGGGCCTGCTTCCCTCTGGGCGAGCGCGCCCTGGTGCGCGTGCGCGGGCCAGACTCCGCGCCCTTCCTCCTGGGGCTGCTGACAAATGAGCTGCCGCTTCCGGGTCCTGCGGACGGCACGACCCCGCCCCCGGCGCGGTCGCGCTACGCCCACTTTCTCAACGTCCAGGGCCGCACGCTGTACGACGTCATTGTCTACCGGTGAGAGCGGGCGGTCGCGGTACCCAAGGGGAGGGCGAAGGGGCGGGGCCGGGACGGCAGCCGGGGTGGGGCGGGGCCACGAAGGGGGAAGGAGAAGAAGCGGGGCCACCTAGGTGGAGGGAGCAGGGGCAGGCCGCACCCATGGGAAGGGAGGAGGGGGGAGCCGGGGGCGGGGCGAGACATTCAGCGGGAGGAAGAAGGAGCGGGGACACCCTGGGGGAAGGAGGAGTGGCGGCCCCACCCAGGGGGAGGGACGTGGGTCGGGAGCCGTGGAGGGGCGGGCGGCCGCAGTGGGAGAGTGCGGGTCACCAGGAGCCAGGGCACCTGGGCGAACTGTTAGAGGCTGAGGAAAGATCTTCAGGGCGGGTCACTTGGGGAGGGACATGCGGGGCCTGGGCATCCAGGGGAGGAAACCTGAGGAGAGGAGGGGCGCCTGAGGACGCCCCCAGGGAGGGCCTGGGAGTCCCCGTACCTGGCTTCCGAGGTCTTCACCTTCTCAGTGGTCACTTCTGCTCTGCTCTGCTTGGAAAAGTTTGCAGCGGCGAACGCTGGCCTGAGGGGTGGTGTGAGGGGTCTGCAGCCCAGCGGAAGGGGATGCCCCAGAGTTGGTGGCCTGCTTCGAAGGGCGGCGGCGAGGAGCCAGGTCCATGCCTGCAAGTCCTGCTTTGTGGCTGGTCCTTTCCTGCCTGGTCCGGACCCTCCCGGTGTTTCGCGTACTTCTCACCTGCGGCTCACGACACTGCTCTGGGAAGAGGGCCACTCTTCTGGGGTCCAGGGCCATCGAGCTTTCTCTCCCTGCCTGGTGCTCTCTGGAGTTTCTCCTTTTGGGTCACCTACTTCCTTCCTCAGAGCCCCCGTTCTGGTTTCCTAGGCGCAACACCTTGTTCCAGGGGTAGCTTGGTATTTTTGCTTTGAAAATGGACTTTAGATTTTGCAGCCCATTTAAGTTCACAGCTTAACCCTGGGGAAGGCACCAAGCCCCCTCAGGGCAGCGTCCCCACCAGGGGACGCTGCAGCACCCAGGGCCCATTCTTTCTGGGAGGGCTCACTCTTGGTGGTGTGGACAAGTGTGGGATGACACGTACCCGTCATGTGATGGCTGTCAGGCTGTCACCAACCTGACAGCCCAGCCCCCTCCTCCCCCCTGTGCTCCGAATCACCCCTCTTCCCCCTAATCCCCTCCCTGCAGCCCCTGGGGGGATCCTTTTCCTGTCTTCGTGGTTTTCCTTTTCCAGAACGCTGTGTACTTGGAATCACACGGTGCACAGCCTTCTCAGATGGGCTCCTTTCACTTAGTGATATGTAGTTAAGGTTCCCTGTGGTGTTTCACTGCTGGGTGGTGCGTTTCTCTTTAACACTGAGTGATTTTGCCTTGTGTGGATGGACCGTGGTCTCTTAATCTGTCACCTTGTGGAGGACGTCTCGGCTGCTTCCATGTTTGGGCAGTTGTGGGTAAACCTGCCATAAACATCTGCATCCAGGATTTTGTGTAAAGGCACAGAAGCTTGATTGCTGGGTCTCACCATACAGGAATGTTTGGTTTTGTGAGAAACTGCCAAGCCCTGCCATGGTGGCTTTGTGGTTTTGGGTCCACACCAGCAAGCAATGGCTGTTTGCCCCATGCGTATCCTCTGTGGGGAGGTGTCTGTTAAGGTCTCTGGCCCACTTTTAATCGGGTTGTCTGTTTCCTGACTGTTGTGGTTTTCAGTGTTCTCATGTGTCTGAATGATGGACCCCCATAAGATGTGATGTTTCAGATCTTCTCTCCATGCCGTCCTCATTCCCTACAGAGAGGCTGTGTGTGTTCCTGTCCCAGCCACACATGTGTAGCCTGGGCAGCCTTCCTTAGGTGCTGGCTGCATACAGTGCTAGCTCTTGTGGAGTGGTCCCAAGGCTGTGCAGGTCTGCAGATGGGGACGGTCCTTGTGGGAAGCTCCCCAGTCTGTGTGTGCAGGACTGCAGATGGGGACGGTCCCTGTGGGATGCCCCCCAGTATGTGTGTGCAGGACTGCAGATGGGGACGGTCCCTGTGGGAAGCTCCCCAGTCTGTGTGTGCAGGACTGCGGATGGGGACGGTCCCTGTGGGAAGCTCCCCAGTGTGTGTGCAGGACTGCAGATGGGGATGGTCCCTGTGGGATGCCCCCCAGTATGTGTGTGCAGGACTGCAGATGGGGACGGTCCCTGTGGGAAGCTCCCCAGTCTGTGTGTGCAGGACTGTGGATGGGGACGGTCCCTGTGAGATGCTTCCCTGTGTGTGCAGGACTGCAGATGAGGACGGTCCCGTGCTCCCTAGTCTCTAGCAGAGCGTGCATCCTGGCCTTCCGACCCCTTTCCCGTCATGTGGATTAGCAGTTCCTGGAAGGTGCAGTCTGGTCTGTGTGTGCTCAGCAGAGTGTGCGGCTGAGGACACTTACGTCCAGGTCTTGTTGCTTCTGTGTGGCCTCTGCTCAGCCCCCCTGCCATGGCCTCATTCGTTGGGGACTTCTTGGGGACCTGGGAGGGCACTGTGTCCTCAGTCCCTCATGGGCACTTGGTATGCCATCTCCCAGGTGACTCAGAGCACACCTGCCAGGCTCTCAATTCTCTAGGTACAGTCGTTTCCCTGCTGGCCTCCTTGTGTCCCATATCGGCCCACATCTCACACCCTGTCCTCCTCCACGCCCTCAAGGGACTGTATTTGTGTCATGTCCCTGGCTCAGAGGAGAGTGGAGTCCCTGTGTTTATGTGGGTGGCGGATGCCAGCGTGGTGGGTGTTGTGCAGGGCATCTGGCTCCTGGGGGAGGGGCTCTGTGTGCTCTGGGTGTGGGGGTAGGAGGGCCAGAGCCTCTCTTTCTAGTGTTCACACAGCTTATGCTCTGCCAGCCAGGTCAGCCGCTGAGGCCGCAGCTGTCCCCCAGCCTCTCTTTTCCTGAGGCGGTGCTTGTGACCTCAGGAGGGGCAGCTGTGCCTAGCAAACAAAAGTGCAGGGGACTACAGACAGTGGGTGACTTTTAGGGTAAGGACGTTCTCTGCAGTGTTTGGAAGGTGCTTTTTGCTAAAGATGTTGTTCACTGTTTATCTGATAAATTTACCTGGCAACACTGGCCCAGTGGCACCGGAAGCATCTGGGGAGATTTATGCTTGTGACTCAAGGTTGGGGGTGTTGGTGCTCCTGGCATCGAATGGGCCAGGCCTGGCAAGCCACCCTGGGCACAGGTGCATCTCCTGCCCCCATTCCGGAGCTAGGCAAGAGTAGCAGACAGTCTGATTTGGTAGCACAGGGGGGCTGGGGTACACTCTAGCTTCATTGGTCCCCAGGGGCTGCCTGGAATGCAGGTGGCCTGGGAAGGTGCCTGAGCCCAGAACAGAGGCCTGCCTGCCTTAGCCTTCCTCTGCACTCCTGGGAACCCGGCTCCCTGGCCAGGACCCTCAGAGGCTTGTGCTCCCCCACGACCTTACATTGTGCCCATCCTGCCTGATTCCTCCCCTTCACGTTGTCCCTGTGGCTACTTTTACCTGAGACTTATAATAAAAACACACCTGTGTGTGGCTGAGAACCCTAACAATGCAGCACAGTTTATGGTGGGAGGTACCCCTTTGCTGCTTTCCTCAGACCTACAGTGACATCCTGAGCCCCATCCTCCGAGGCAGCTTCTCCTCTCTCTTTTGAAATAATGGTTGATTCACAAGGAGCACAGGAAGGAACAGGGAGGCTCAGGTGCTCTTGCCCTGGTCCCACAGGGCGATGTCTTGCCTCCTGGAGTCTGGGGTCATGAGCAGGGTGACATGGGACAGCAACAGAGCTCATGCAGGATTCCCCCAAACTCCACGCTCCCGCATGTGTGAGCACATGTGCCTGTGTCTGTGCCCTGGTCACATGTGTGGGCCCCTGTGAACTCGATTAGGACAGCTGTTCCTTCACCACCACTGGATCCCCTTCTCCCCTTGTGAGCGCAAGTGCCCTTCTCACCCCAACTCCTTTCTTGCTCTTTCTCCACTTGTCTGACTAGGAGGTCACCTTGAAGTCTGACAAATGTAACTGCTTGGGATTGGACTCACACACCTTGGCACCCTGTGGTTCTGCCTACCTGTAGCAGTGTGGACCTATGGCTCCTGTTTATGTGGGTGGGGGGGGGAATGTGGACACAACAGAGTGTGTGCTATAGGGTGAGTCCCCAGAGATGGGACCCCAAGTAAGTCCCTGCTGTTCTTTTCTCTGGGGGTGACTGGTTTCTCCAGGGAAGCACTTAATCCTGTACTGTCTGGGGCCACTAATTGGTGGGCTCTGTAGGGAAGGGTCGGGGGCACCAGCTGGAGGGTTCTGTAGGGAAGGATGGGGAGCACCAGCTGGTGGGCTCTGGGGGAGGGGTCAGGGACACCAGCTGGAGGGCTCTGGGGGAGGGGACACCAGCTTGTGGGCTCTGGGTGAGTGGTCAAGAACATCAGCTGTTGGGCTCTCTGGGAAGGGTCAGAGACACCATCTAATGAGGTAAAGGGTAGATGTCAGGGTTACCAGCTGGTGGGCTCTGGGGAGGGGTGTGGGAGCACTAGTTGTTAGTTTCTCAGACACATTTATGGAAGGTCTTATTCATTATTTCTCAGTTTCCCCTGGACTGGTCCGAGTCCAGTCCACATCTAGGACCAGGATCTTGGTTATATACTCCTGTGGGTCCTGAACATCTCTGCTGAGGTCCCTGCACTAGCCTTTCCTCTGGGCTGGGTGTCCCATGTGGTTACCACACCAGGTTCCAGGGTTACTGCTGTGGCAGTGGTGGTCCAGAGTGCAGTTAGGGTGGTTGTGGGGCCCTGATGGGGTTCTGGAGCTCTCCTTGGGAAGTGGAAGTTGGGTTTGGGCAGACTGTGGCCTCACTAGCACATCCCCTTGTCTCTGATGTGTCCGTGGCCTGCTATCCCACCTACCCACCATAGATCCTCGGCTTCTGTGGGGCAGAGTAGGCAGGTCCAGGTCCTGGTGAGGCTGCCTGCAGCTCTCCCCCTCACGTGGAGGACCAGACCGACAGCACTGTGGTCCCTGTGCCTGGGTCCCACCTACCCAGCCATGGCCTGTCTTCCACCAAGTGGACTGCTTCCTGCATTCGCACCCTGGTGGGGAGGGTCCTGCAGGCACTGTGGAGAGTGGAGGCCCGGGGCGGTCCCTCAGGAGCCCTGCCCCTCCCCACAGGCTCCCAGAACAGGAGGCCGCTGACCAGGCACCTGCCTTCCTCCTGGAGTGTGACAGCAAGGTGCTGGGTGCCCTGCAGACGCACCTGGTGCTGTACAGGGTCCGGCGGAAGGTCACGGTGGAGCTGCGCCCCGAGCTGCGTGTGTGGGCTGTGCTGCCAGACCACCCTGAGGAGGCTTGTGGGGCTGCACCGCTGCTGGAGCGGGCGGAGGGAGCCAGCATCCTCACTCCCGACCCCCGGACGGCCCGCATGGGCTGGCGGCTTCTCACTCAGGATGCGGGCCTGGTGCTGGTGCCCGGGGGCCGGCTCGGCGACCTCCGGGATTATCACCGCCACCGGTACCAGCAAGGTAGGTATGCAGGACTGGGCCTTGCTGGTGGTAGGTGGGGCGGGCGGGGGGTGGTGGTGGGGGAGTCAGGGGGCATGTCCAGTGCCGGTCCTTCTGCGCCCCACTCATGCATGCCCCCCACTCATGCATGCCGCAGCCCTGGAGGAGGCCTCAGCCCTCAGGAAACTTGTCCCTTCCCACCCCACAGGCGTTCCCGAGGGGGTCCAGGACCTGCCCCCAGGAGCAGCCCTACCCCTGGAGTCCAATCTGGCCCTCATGAATGGTGTCAGTTTCACCAAGGGCTGCTACATCGGCCAGGAGCTGACGGCCCGCACCCACCACATGGGCGTCATCCGCAAGCGTCTCTTCCCGGTGCTGCTGTCAAGGCCTGTCCCTGAAGGTGGTATCACCCCGGGTGCTCCGGTGCTCACCGAGTCGGGGCAGGCCGCTGGCAAGTACAGGGCCGGCCAGGGAGATGTGGGCCTGGCCCTGCTGCGGACAGAGAAGATCAAGGGCCCCCTCCATGTCAGGACCTCCGACAGCAGCCAGGTATCCCTGACTGCGTCTGTGCCTGACTGGTGGCCCACAGCCGCCAAGTAGCCAGGACGTCCCTCTGCTCCCACAGCTCTGGGGCTGCCAGGAGGGCTCTGTCCACCTGCCGCATTCTGAGGCTGGTCTCCTCGCTCCTAAGGGCTGCAGGCCTGGGTGGTGTGTGTTTCCTGCCCACCATGCTTCCCACAGAGGGTTCTATGGGCAGCTGGGGCCGTGGTCCCTTGCTGCTCCATGGCAGCAAGCAGCAAGAGCCCTCCTGGGGACCGGGGAGGAGGAGCTGGCCTGCTCGTGCTCCTGTGCCAAGGTGAGCTGCAGTTTCCGTCCGATGGGACAGACGAGGTCCTAGCTGTGTGGGTTTAAGAGGTGGTTCATCCATTAGTCTAGGACAGGACGGTCCAGAGTCTTGTCCCCGGGATGCCTGCACTCCTCTCCATCTGGGGTTGGCTGAAAGGGCAGGCAGGCTCTGGGAAACTACAGTGCCATGTGCCGGCTGTGGGACTCCCCCTTGCCATTTCCTGTGCACTGTGGTCTCTGCAGCACCTCCTATGCATGCCTTTGTGGGGGGACAACAGGGCCCAGGGCTACCAGCTCCCCTTCCCCAGGAGCTGCCTAGGTGGGGGGTGGGGACAGCAGGGCCCAGGGAACAGGGAGGAGGTGCTGCTTGGTTTGCTTGCTGCTTTTCTGAGGCATGGCTGTATCTACACTGTAAGGGGTTGACTTTCCTCTCCTCTTGAAACCACTGACTTGCGCTGTCCCATGCAATGTAAATCTCCTGGTTACAGGGTGTCCTTTGTGATGCCCCAGAGCGACTATTAAAGTGTGATGCACAAGCAGCCCATGTGGAGCTCTGGTTTCATTTTGGGTGGAAAGTGCTGGGATCTGGTTTTGGGTAGAGCAGAGATCACAGCACGCCTGGTGAAGTTTGCCAGGAGAGTCCCAGGAAGAGGCTTCGGGTTGGGACAGCAAGGGAGCATCGAGTCCACCGTGGATGGCGGATTGTGTGGCCCGCCTTCGTATCCACGGAGGGCAGAGGCTAACAGGAAACCAAGTTAGTGCCAGCAAAACAAGCCCTCACGGAACTCTTCTGCAAGCGTGCACTGCGCACCCTCAGCACCTGCTGGCCCGTCTCCAGGCCAACACCCAGGCCGCATCAGGATTTTGTCTCTCATCCCACTGCAGGCTCCGCAGCACCCCTCTGCGTGGCACCCGCGGCCTGTGAGCCAGCCTTGTACAGTGAGGGTGTGCCTGTGCCCAGAACCCGCGCTGTGCTTGATGTGCTCAGGGCTCCTCACAGCCCGCTGGACCTGCTTGGGGCTCCTCCCCTGCCTAGTCAGGAGCCCAGAGTAACCTGGAGAGAGGCTGGCCACGTGGCAGGGTGCTCTGGCAGCTGCCCAGAGAGATGCTGCCTTCCAGCTCATGCGTCCCCTACTGTCCTCAGGCGTCCAGGTCACTGGGACTTGAGACGGCTTTGTTCAGTCCGTGATCCACCTTAGGGATTGTAGACGGAAGCTGCCATCCAACACAAGTGTTTGTTTGCTGGACAGACCTGGTCGCTCCTCACACAGTTGCTGGTGCTTCCGAGAGTCTCTGGCTTTTAGAGGCTGTCAGGTGAGCCGCCCTGTACACATGCCTGGGGACCAAGGGGTCCGTCAGTGTTTGATGCTTCTTCCTGCCTCCGAGTTTGTCAACGCCGATCGCTGTGAGGACGGTGCAGGCTCGGAAGCCCCTTGCTGGTTCTCGAGTCTGCCTCAGTTTTTTTGTGAGAAGTACAGAGTTCTAGGAAGCAAGCGGGCCTCTGCTCTGCCCTGATGCCCTGAGAGAGCAGCTGGCAGGCTGACAGTGGGCAGGTACCAGGGTCTGGAGGCCCCTCCTGGGGGAGCCCCCTGCCCCCACCGTGAGGCTGGTGTAGACATGCTTCCCCCAGCATGTCATTGTGATCACCTAGCACGGAATGCGAAAGGTTGCCGTGAGCACCGGTGCGCATGCCCCATGATCAGCCTTGGTGATGCTTTGTTGTGTTTCCAACAAACCAGCAGGCCTCACACCCTCACTCCTAACCCTTTGTCAACATAAACGTCTTTTGTTCCCTGGGAGCCAAAATTCAGCTACCATGAAATGCACGAAACCTGCTATTTCCGGGATTGTGCATACAGCTGTGCACCCCAGACCCAAGGAGGGTCTGGAACATTCCATCACCGCAGCAGCACTCCCTGGTCATTCCCTGTGCCCCAGCAGCCACAGATGTGCCAAGTGGGGGGTGCTGCCCGGTGGGTGGCTGGGCTACAGTGAGTGTCTCTGTGTCCTCCCGTGGGGAAAGCAGCCCTGAGTGTACAGACGGGCCATGGTGGGTCTGCTGCAAACACAGACCTGTGACCCCAGCACAGTGACCTGTCCAGGAAACCGACCCCCGACTCCAGTACCAGCCTGGAAGCCAGCCTGCCAGAATGACATGCAGAATGTCAGGCTGCTGTATAGCCAGACCATAAACCCCCTCACCAACAACAACGGCCCCAAATGACAGGACCTGATCAGTACTGGCATTTCTGACAGTCACATGTGCTCCCTGGCCAATCCCACAGGACGCCTGCTCCCCTTCCTGTCAGTTGCCCCAGCTGCCCCAGTGGCCTGCTACAGGGCACCCTAGGATCCACCTCTTTGTCCACAGGGAGGCCAACTGCCTCTGATTCTGTGCAGACACAGGCGATGGTGGCCCACTCCACTCCGCTGCATCTCAGAGCTCTGAGCAGATAGCATCTGCCCGCTCTGGTGGGTGGGCTCCATTGAGGGACCCACCTCAGCTGCGGGTAGGAGAGAGGTCCCCAGTAAGGAGCTCCCTATGTTCTCCTGGTTTCCAGGCCACTGACCCATTTCCTGCTCCAGCCGGCAGCATGGCCTTGCCACCATGTGGTGCTGTCCGCCTTTGTAATTTCCATGTGGAGATTTGTTGTTTAGGTTTCAGACATGAGGGCAGATGCCAGACCGTGCCTGAGGGTCAGTGGGGAGCCCTGTCCACTGTCTGTGGTCTGGTCACCCAGTCAACTCAGTGTCCCTGGCTCCACTTTCTTCCCAAAGGATGTTGATCTCATGTGGGAAAAATGAGTGATTTCCAAAGAACTTTTGTTTTGTGTCAGCTCTCAGGGAGAAGTTGGTCAGGGGACATTGGCGGCAAGGACTGTGTTGATGAACATTCTCTAGACTGCTGAGTCCTGGGCTACCTTTCACTCCCTCATCCGTTTATCCAGAGGCTTACTGAATGCCCACCAGTCATGAACTAAACCGCAAAGTACGCTGGGTTGCATTAGCTCTTCCATGATTAAGCTGGGAATGGGGCAGGCTGTGTGTGGAGGTGGGATGCCTTAGGGGGATGGGGCACGTATGGGGTTAGGGCTCATTGTAGGGCTGGGCACCTTGGGAAGATAGGCTGTATGCAGAGTCAGGGCACATTGGGGGCTGGGCTCATGTGCAGGGGTCACATTGGGAGCTTAGACTTTGTGCAGAGTCGGGGTGCACTGGGGGCTGGGCTCATGCGCAGTGGGGCACATTGGGAGCTTAGACTATGTACAGAGTCGGGGCTCATTGGGGACTGGGCTCATGCGCAGGGGTCACATTGGGAGCTTAGACTTTGTGCAGAGTCGGGGCGCATTGGGGTCTGGGCTTATGCGCAGTAGGGCACATTGGGAGCTTAGCCTGTGTGCAGAGTCAGGGTGCATTGGGGGCTGGGCACATGAGCAGTGGGGCACATTGGGAGGATAAACTGCAGAATCGGGGCACATTGGGGGCTGGGCTCATGCACAGTGGGGCACATTAGGAGGATAGGCTGTGTACAGGTTGGGATACGTTGGGGGGCGGAGTGCATTCAGCATTGAGGTCAAGCATATGTGGTGCCCATGTCCGGACGGAGGGCCCACCATAGGGGAAAGATCCTGGCCAGCACCACACCTCAGATGTCCTTCAAATAGCCAAGGTCAGTATGACTTGGGGTAGGGCCGGTGGGAAGGTATGTGGGCAAAGGGTAGAAACCTGAGGCCTCTAGGAGCAAGGGTCTCAAGGGGCAGAGCTCAGAGGCCATCTGGAAGGGTGGCTGTTGCCATGTGGGGCAGGAGCTGCAGGAGGGTTTGTGGGGGATGGGGGGGTGGGGACAGTGTTCCCTGGTGAGGAGTCAGGGGCTCAGACCTTATCTAAAGCAAGTGTTTGGAGGAATGGGGGACGCTGCCTAGGGCTGCCCCCTGGGTGGAGGGTAGTGGGGTGTTAGGCGGCCCAGAAGTCCTGAGCACGGGAGGTGGGGTGCAGCAGGATGCAGACCAGTGGGGGGCATGGGGCTTCTGGGCTCCTGGGCCTACAGGTGTGGCCGCCTCTCTGGATTCACCTTGGATGCCCCACACCTTGTGCTGGACTGTCTGGTTTAATGGGAACTGTTATGGGGTCATCGTCACCATGAGGTCCCACCTCCCTGTTCCCCAGCCCCCTTCCCGTGGGGACTGTTTGCAGGTTCCCCCCTCCTGTGGGGACTGTTTGCAGGATCCCACCCTTCCCATGGAGACCGTGTGCAGGGCCTCCCCCCTCCCGTGGGGACTGTTTACAGGTCCCCCCCCCTGGAAGGAACTGTTTGCAGGTCCTCTTGCCCCCCCTCCAGTGGGAACTGTATGCAGGGTCCCACCCTTCCCATGGGGACTGTTTGCAGGGTCCCCCTCCCTTCCTGTGAGGACTGTTTACAGGTCCTCCTGCCCACCCTCCCTTGGGACTTTTTGCAGGTCCCCCTGCCCCCCTTCCTGTGAGGACTGTTTGCAGCCTCCCCCCCCCCATGGGGACTGTTTGCAGATCCTCTGCCCCTCATCCCCCACCCCTGGTAGGGACTGTTTGCAGGTCCCCCAGCACCCTTCCCTGTGGGGACTGTTTGCAGGGTGCCCCCCGCCCCACGATGGGGACTATTTTCAGAACCCCCGCGCTATCACACAGGACCCCCTGGCCTCTGGCAGCCTCTCCTGCACGCGCTGGTCCACGCGCCTATGTGAGTTGTCGGTTTTATCACAAGGGGGCGCTGCTGTGTCTCGTCAGGTTGCTCTGGGTCCCAGTCTCCTCGGTAACTTCCAGCCCCGCGGGGACGGGGACGTTTGGGTGGTGCACGTTCACGTCCGGGCTGTGTGCGTGCGCAAGGTTTCCGTGTCCCTGGGATGCGTCCCGGGAGAGGTCAGGCTGGCGTAGTGGCGGCGGCATGTTTAGTGTCACAGAGAGCTGCACGCTTTCCCAGCGCTGCTGCACCGAAGTTAGCTCCCGCGGAAGGGGGTGTGTGTGGGGGGGTGGGGACCGTGTTTCCTGCCTCCTGCCCTGCATCTGGGTAGGAGAGTGTTGTTCTAGCCGCTCCCAAAGGTGTGTGGTGCTGGTTTTGATCTGAATTTCCCCACGGCTCCTGGGTCTATTCCTTGGTGGAATCCCTCCTCGGGACTTGTGCCCGTGGGGTACAGGCCCTTGTCCCTTGTGCGAGGCCGGGGATGCTCTCGATCTGTGGCAGGTACCCCAGATGGCAGGGGTGCGTACCGGCGCCTTGCTCCTGGGGGACCACCGCCCATCTGTAGGCAAGTTCGCGTGGTGTGCGCTTAGTTTACAGACACAACACGGGACCCGCAGGCAGCGCGTCGAGTCCCGGCTTGCTTGCACCGAGGCATAGAGCCGCCTTCTTGCACTCAGGAGCGCCAGGCGGCGCTTCGCCTTCACGCTCCCCGGCCGTGTGAACAGGGAAGCCACCAGCAAAGTCCAGAAATGCAGGCGGCGTGGCCCTAAGCCCCACCACGTTAGACGGAGACGAGAACTAGGCGCCCCCTGCAGCTCGGTTTCACAG